CAAAAATGACCCAAAATCGCCCAAAATTGACCAAAAATGGCCCAAAAATGAACCAAAATAGTCCAAAATGGCTCAAAATGCCCCAAAATCACCCAAAATGACCCATAATCACCCAAAATTGACCCAAAATGACCCAAAATTGTGAAAAATTGACCCAAAATGATGAAAAATCTGCCTAAAGTCACCCAAAATTGACCAAAAATGGCCCAAAATGGTGAAAAATTGATCCAAGATGACCCAAAATAGACCCAAAAGGAGCCAAAATGACCCAAAATTGAACCAAAATGAACAAAAATGCCCCAAAATCACCCAAAATGGACCCAAAATTGTCCCAAACCCCCAAAATTGCCCCAAAATCCCCCCAAATTCAAAAAAAAAATCCACATTTTCACTCAATTTTTTCAGTTTTTTTATTTCGGTTTTTTGGTCCATTCCCGTTCCTTTAAAAAGGGGCGTGGTCTGTTCCAGAAATGGGCGTGGTCTCCTCATGGCCCCGCCCACTGGAGCCGCCATTCCTCCTCGGCCAGCAGGGGGCGTCGCGTGTCCCACCCGGCGGCCTCCAATCCTGCGGGGGGCGCCAAAATTTTCCAAAAAATCCCAAAATTTTAACAAATTCCCAAAATTTTCCCAAAATCCCAGAAAAAAATCCCCCAAATTTTCTTAAAAATCCCAAAAGTTTCTCCAAAATCCCCCCAATTTTTCCCCCAAATTTTCCCAAAATCCCCTAAATTTCTGAAAATCCCCCAAAATTTTCCCAACTTTTCACCCAAATTCCCCAAATTTTTCCCAAATTCTTAAAATTTTCCCCAAATCCTCCAAATTTTCCCAAAAATCCCCCAAATTTTCCCAGTTGTCCCCAAAAATCCCCAAAGTGTTCCCAAATTTCCCCAAAATTTCCCCAAAAATCCCACAAATTTTCCCAAAATTGCCCAAATATTTCCCAATTTTTTCCCAAATTTTCCCCAAATTCCCCAAATTTTCCCAAAATCCCAGAAACAAATCCCCAAAATTTTCTCAAAATCCCAGAAAAAAGTCCCCAGAATTTCCCTAAAATCCCAGAAAAAAATCCACAAAATTTTCCCAAAAATCCCAGAAAAAGATCGCCAAATTTTTCCAAAATCCCAGAAAAGATCCCCCAAAATTTCCCAAAACTTTCAAAATTTTCTCCAAAATCCTCCAATTTTTCCCCCAAATTTTCCCCAAAATCCTTTTTTTTTCCTGCCCAATGGGGCGGGGCCTAAATCCCGGGGGGCGGGGCACACACCTTCCAGGAGGGAGGAGCTTAAATCCTGGGTGGG